TGCAGTAAAGATTCAGTGGTTTGAGCAAGGGGATTCAATGAGCAGTAAGGATTCAATAGTTTGAGCAGAGGAGGTGAGTCAGGAATTTATTGAGGAGGGTGCTGAACACCTCCCAGCCAACTGAAAATAAAATAGGAAAAGAACTAGAAAAGGCTTGGATTAACCACTCACCACCACATCTTCATTGCTACTTTTTAAGTTGATTTCTCAAAAAAAACCCAACTTACCCAGCCCTTGCAGTCTGAGTGTTCACCCGTATTATTCTGGTAGACATAAGCATCAAAACTAAGCAATCAAACATGGCACTGCTGTGCATATTCATTCTGCACTTTAATCCTGATCTTTTTGTGAGAAATAACATTTATGTCCATTTTAAAAGTGAGAAAACCCAAGAATTTAAAAGCTGAATCATCTTCAAAGGTGAATTCCAAGGCTAAAGTGAAAGTTGAATCAAGTCCAGAAAAATGGTCGGATGTTGCTTAAGTTATATATGAGATTTTCCACAGAGAAATCTGCAGTAATTATATATATTTTTGGACTATGTAAAATTCTGAAGCAGTGCCTGCTGTGTCATAGGTTACTTCTTTTGCCAGCTAGAATATGTTGGTCTGTGCAGAAGAACTAGATCATAATGTATGTTGAAAAGGCCTTGACACATGTTTGTGTGTCTTAGATCGAGAAAAGCTTACCTCAGATGCTAAGTCCTTGACACCAGTAATCCTTTCCTTTCCGTAACAAAGTCCTTTGCAGTCCACTAGATTGAAAGTTTTTACAGAAATATATAAGGCACTGGGATGGCAATGCATGTGTGAGGTGCATCTGAAGCAAATCACAGAAATGGCCACGTCCTCCCAGATCGCCTCCTTTGAGTCCTTCCTTTGTGTTCTTTGGGCTGTGATCAGTAATTCTTTCTCCTTCAGTAACTGTCACTGTGTCTGTTCTTTTACAGTGAAATCTGGGCTCGGTTTTTAGCCTTTGAAAGTAACATTGGTGATTTAGCCAGCATACTGAAAGTTGAGAAGAGGAGGTTCACAGCATTCAAAGAGGAATATGAGGGCAAAGAAACAGCTCTGCTGGTGGACAGGTACAAGTTCATGGACTTGTACCCCTGCTCTGCTAGTGAACTCAAGGCCCTTGGTTATAAGGTAAGTGGGTAAGAACACTTCAATTTACTGTTGTGCTTTTCAGTCCCAGTAAACTTGAGGAATTCCTTGTTTAGGACTTGCCTTACACTTTTCCCCCTGAGGGAAAAGCAGGTAAAACAGGCCTTCTCCTCCTCCTTGTCTCATTGGGCAGCAAAGTGCCAGGCTTTGCTTAGTGGGCCAAGGGCAGAAAGGAGCAAGGAACACGACTGACAACTGCAGCCTCATGTCTTCATATTTACCTTTCATCCTCCCACGGAAAGGTCGATGTGTTCGTGCCATCACCACTCAGTACAGGCCTCCACTTCCGACATAAGCCCGAGCTCTTTCAAAAACCCAAATTCTTTCAGAAGTTTGTTGAATTGGGCCATCTGTGTGAAACATCTCTGGCTGTCCTTCCACTCCAAGGTGGCAACACTCCACCCATTTCACTGAGAACTGTATCAAACCAAACAGGCTGCAGTCCCCGTGTTTGCTGCCAATGGCTGAGGAAAACTGTCCACAGAGATCAGTGGCTGCTTGCTTGTTTCTGTTGTTTCTTATGGCTAAAGTGCTTTGGTGCTGCCATTTGGAATTTAAAGCCTGGGCCAGACCCTGTTATCTGGTGGTCTCCTGTCTTGTTTCTAACCACATATATTTTAACTACTGTTTCAGTTCTGTGGAAGGCCATAACGCTTCCAAAACCAATAGAACAGGATAAAATGTTGGGTAATATTTTTTTAAGCGTGAAGTAAATAGGCTGCTAGAGAAACAGCTGATTGCCATTTGCACGGACAGGAAGAGGGCCTTCAATTTACGTCTCTAAAACAGTGCCTCAGCTTCCAGTTATTTCTTACACAGAAGAGTAATTTATGAAAAATACAGATGACATCAAAGTTAGCAAAGCAGCTGAATTGTTGCTCGTCACAGAGCTGTAAAATAATCTGATAGGTGGAAATCAGAGTCACATTGAGCCACTGAACACTTTCCTTTGAATGCAGTGGGGACAAAGTTATTTTGAAGTTAAAGGTGTGGGTACAAGAGAGAAGTTCTTGCGAGGTGCCTGCAGGGCAGTGTGTACCTAAGATGGTTCAGCCCTTGGGCTGATTCCTGTTGCTTGTAACGTGCCAAAACGTAATCCTGTTTGAACTGATGCTTTGCATGCCTGCTGACTGCCTTATGCTTTATTTCTTATCCAGCTAAAGCAATCTAGGGAATGAAATGAGGGAGAAATGATAGTTGTGAAGGCCTAGTGGTCTGCACCTGTTCACCTAAATCTTTTTAACCTAAAAGTGGGGCCGCTCAAAAATGACAAACATGGGCCCATTCAGTAGCAGAAACAAGTGTTTCCACTCCCAGCTGGGACTAAAATGCTTGATGAAAACATGCAAGTTCTGCCCAGATGGTCTTGTAAGAGGACATCTGAAATTATAATGATGACAAGATGTTTTGTTCTGTAATTTAAACAAGCCATGTGGTCCTGCCGAGTTCAGCGCTCTCTGATTGCCTTTCTCAGGATGTCTCCCGTGCCAAGCTAGCAGCAATAATTCCAGACCCTGTGGTTGCACCTTCCATCGTGCCTGTTCTCAAGGATGAAGTAGACAGAAAACCCGAATATCCAAAACCCGACACTCAGCAGATGATTCCATTTCAGCCAAGACACTTAGCACGTAAGTCAGACCTCGGTCGGAGGGGGTTGTGTTTCACCTGGCGGCGAGTTATGAACCTGGGTGTTGAGTCAGCCTGATCAGAGACTTCCCCAGTTTACAGTCAGCTAAACCTGTACTTAAATTTGAGGCTGTTATTTCACTGTGTATGTTTTACTTAGAATTAAGGTCACATGGAAATAAGTACGAGTAGTTTGGGTTAAATGATAATAAGCTGTTACACACACTGCTCATAGACCAGATCACTAAACAATATGTAATTAGTAGAGGCCAAAGGGACAGGGTAGCAATTATTTGCATCAAATATTAATGCTGCAAGAACAATTCTGGTCTAGCTGTGTTGCACTGGCTTCATATAGTTTTTCTTCCCACAGCTCCAGGTTTACATCCCGTCCCAGGTGGTGTATTTCCTGTTCCACCAGCAGCTGTAGTTCTCATGAAGCTCCTGCCACCTCCTATTTGTTTTCAGGTTTGTTGTAATGCATTCTCAAAATTTCAGAAAGCTGTGGAAGAGATTCTGTTGTGACAGAGCCACAGTATGTATCACTCTATTGAAAATAACCTTCTAAACTTTTTTTTGTTTTTGTTTTTTTTTTTGTAACAAATCAGGGTCCCTTTGTTCAAGTGGATGAGCTCATGGAGATATTTAGAAGATGCAAACTGCCAGACAGTAAGTGACTTGTCCTCTCTGGAAGCTGTGACAGAGACATGGTTTTACATATGGATGTTGCTGTCTGAAATCCAGACCTCATTTACAGATGTGCAATTTGTGTTTAAGAGCAAAAGAGATTGGCTGTGTTTCTAGGCTGGAATCTACATAGAGACATTTGTACATTTACCTGGGGGGACATAACAAAAAGCCAAAAAGCTGAAAATCACCAGCTGCTCCTTTAATAAGACATTGGTGAGATAACCATCGAAGGGAAGAAATTCAGACTTTCAGAATATCCTGTAAAAGCAGCAGGGCATTACTTCCAGCAGCATCGTGGCTGTAACATGGAATCAGAGATTTGCAGCAGTTCACTGGTGGGCATAACTCTGAGTGCAGGTCCTTGAGGACAAGCTAAGGGAGATCACAGAGAAAGCAAGCTAGGATTGAATTTGAGTGAAAATAAAATATCTATTTAAATCATAAGCAGTATTTCTGGGGCTTCCTCTGTTGATAAGCAGAAACTGCTCTGCCTACTTTCTGGTGAATCATGAACTAGTTATACTGCTCCCCAGTAGGCCTCCCTGGTTTATTTAAGCTCACAGGTGACCTCAATGCCTGTGTAGAGGGAGGGCTCAAGCTGAAGCAGCAGCATCTACTTTGTAATTAGTGTTCACCATTGCTCAGAGTTTCAGATAGTCAAGGCTTAATATCTGTGGAACAGGGCAGGAAAAATGTTTTATGTTCCGGAAATCTCCACAACGTGTCTCTCTCTTGGTGCCCCTGTTGGCATGCTGATTTCTGATCAGGGAATTTAGTTTCACAACTCACATGAATCTGTGCTTCTTTCTAAAGCTGTCGATGAAGCTGTACGGATCATCACCGGCGGCCTGCCAGAAATAGCTGTGGAGGGCAATGGACCCGTGGAAAACAACACCATCCTCAACAAGGCTGTGAAGAGATCACATGAGGATTCTGATGACGACGAGGAGAAAGGATCCGTAGTTCCCCCTGTACATGACATTTACAGAGCACGACAACAAAAGAGGATCCGGTGAAACAAGTCTGGGGTTCTGCTGTGACAGACAAAGACTTGCATTGAATCAGTCTCTTAAAAGTCAAGCATTTAAAAGGGACAGCTGCAAACGAAAAAAAAAAAATCCTTGAAAATGGTTTTGTTACTGTGGTGCCTCTTCTTCCATATGGTTCTTGATCTGAAAACAGCACGAACAACCTTAGAATGTGCTCTGAACAAAACTAGGTTTTCAGAACCTAAAGTGAAAAATGTCAAAACTGTATTTTGTTCTTCGAGGGTGTTCACATCTACCACTTGAAATCTTGTGGTTTTTTTTAACAGTTTTATTTTAAAAACTGGATGGCTTATACTTGTGAAGCATTTTTAATTCACATTTTCTGGAAAACAGTTGTTCTCAGTTTGTTCATGTAGTGTACTGCCTTATTGTCCGTTTTTATTTATGGCAGAATGTAATAAATCTGTTTTGTAGTTGAAAATCGGATAAAACCCAAAAAAACATTCCTTTAAAATAAAAGGATGTCCATAACTTCATGCCTCATTCTGGTTTTATTCAAACACAACAAGGTACTTCTTAAAATATTACTCAGCCACTTCAAAAGCAATGCTAATAAGACCGTCACAGGAAACTGGTCAGAGCATACATATTAGAATTAGCTTGTTTTCCATTTTTCTAGAGGATACAGTACACTTTTGCTTGTAATTCCACCACTGTTTGAAGAAGACAGCATCTTAAGACTAACTCAGTATATGTTTCAAAGGTGGGTTGTCCAGGACCACTGGCTAACACAGGCTGGTCCTGGATACCTGCACCGGTCTTCCACTGTAAGGTACAAAGCTAAATGTTAATAATTATCAGCTACATCGTTTCACTTGTTATCTTCAAACAAGCTAAAAAAAAAAACACTATATGAGCCTTCAAAGCAGTTTCTATGTACTTGAGCTTTTAACTTGTAATTGGCTATTCAGAATGGCACTCTGATAGGATCTTAAGAACACCCTTGGACTACAGGACATTCAGATACTCGAGAAAGTTCAAGACGTTCCCATCTCCAGCAGCACCGCTGCCTGTGGGTCAGTGCTTCTCTCTGCCAGGGGGAGAGGTGAACCCTGGAAAGGTTCAGGTGGAGGGAGGAACTGGCCTTAGCAATCCTGGAATTCCTTTCTTGCTCTGCTCCTCAGTTGTATCTCCCTATTTCTTTCTGTGAGGATGTAGAGACACTGTTTGTCAGATGCTCTGATTAAAAAAACAACTTGGGAAAATCATTAAGGTGATTTGCACTCGTGGGCATTTATTACAGTCCCTTCAGATCTTTACTCTTGGAAGGCTTGCAGCACCCACTCCCAGAGGCATTTGTTCCCACTGTGTGTGCCCCCAGAAGTGAGACTGGAGGCAGAGGAGAGTACTGCACTCTTCTATGGTTCTACGGTTTTTTTCCTATACTAAGCCTTAGGATCAAACCCCTCCTGTGAGGAGAGATGGGATTTACTTTATCAACCCTGTGAGCAACACACGAGCACTGTTGGCAGCACAATCCCTGCTGCAATGTCAGGACACCTGGACCCTGAATCCCAGACCTGGGAGCAGTCATTGATAATTCAGTCCCCTTCACTCTGCCATCAGTTATGTTGTTCAAGGGCTTTTCTGAGTGTCTCACTGTCGTGTTGTTCCTCTCCACATCCTCAAGATCGTCCCCTGTGGCATCTAACCTTGTGTGGTGTGTGTAAGTCCCAGGGGTTTTAAAGGCAGCTCCTAGGCAGTGCTAAAAGATAAAATAACGGCAGCAAAACTGAAAACAGCTTTGTCTTGTTACTTTGGTTACACCTCCAGCCATAATGGCTCTGGCAGCTCGTTGTTACTCAGACTGTCGAATTAACTTCTGTGGCTGCACTGAGAGGTGGGTCCTGCAGTAACAACAAAGCCCACTAAGCAGACACAGCAACCTTGAAGACCTCTCTAGTATCCTTTGCTGATCCAAACAATGACACAGTCTACACCAAAAGCCTACTCAGAACCCTTTTTGTCTGGCTACCCAACCTACTCATTTCTGAATTGCCAAAGATTCAAAGACATTCATTTCACTATCTGAGTTTATTTAGCCAAGAGAGAAAAATCTGTCTGAAGTGGTAAACTCTTACAGGGTTTGGTGGTTTGCTTTTTTTCCCCTTGGGGAAAGGGGTTTGTAATCAATGAGAAAAATTTGGTTTAGAGTTGCATAGGCTAATATAGAAAAAAGGTCTTATTTATCTCGTCTTCCTCCAAAATCAAAGTCAGTGCACCTCCATCCACACTGAGATTTAAAGGAAAACTAGAAAGGGAAGCATCAACACTTATTTAAAATCAAGTGCTTCTAGAAGTTCTCATACTTTGGTTGGCTAGTTGATTCATAAATTAACCTGGTTGTTGGCAATAAAAGGGCCATTTTATTTATTTATTTTACATACCTTGTTGTTTGTTTGTTTGTTTTTTTCAAAGACATTCTGGCTTGGATAGCTTAGTACTTGGACCGCTTACTGTTTATAGCTACGAACTTTGCTTTCCTAAAACCATCAAATATTGATTACTGTAATACACTGTTGTGCTCAACTAGAGGGAAATTTCAGATGCACTTACCTCCCAGCTGAGTCTGAAGCTGCAACGAGGCTGTAAGATCACTGAGCTCTTCTGAGAACACTCATCTACACAACACATAGCTAATGAAATTCAAGGCCTATAAATATTCTAAGTTCCAAGAACACCTCTACAAAGTGAAAAAAAATCTACTGAAAATATTCCCTGTATATTCAAACTAAGTCATTCACCTCTCACACTGCATTAAAATCACTTATACTGCCCATAGTGCTCTGCACTTCCTGGCTATTTTTGAAGACATGATTGAATATGCAACCGTCTCCTGTTGTAGTTTTTTTTAAAAAAAAAAAAAAACAAGTAAACTTTCCAGCCTGAAGTTTCACACACGTTAAATCCACCTTCTGAAAGTGACACAGATTTACTTTAAAATTAGTATCTCACATAAAAAGGAGGAAACTACTAGCAAAACAAGGTAAGAAATACCACTTTTATCAAAACATTTTAGCTCTGCCCTTCTTAAGTCTTTACAAGAGATAAATACAGCTGCAATCTATAAGATTGCCACCTTTGTAAGTACTGTACATAGCAGAGGACAGTTACCCAATAACCAGAAAATTTACTACAAAAATATATTATGTTTTGTAACATCTGCAGGTAAACAGCAAAAAAATGCTATTAAAAATGCAGTAAAATGCAGAAAAAACTAGTAGCCTACCATAGTGACCATAATGTTACAATAAAGTGCTGTTTGGGTTGCTTTTGTGTCTGTTGAAGTTCCTCTTATCTAGAATTTTAGCTTTCTTAATTCTTTAAAGTAAGATGTTTTTAAAACCATATTACCCCTTCTGGGAAGATACATTGCTAAACTGCTCTGGATTAGTTAAACTAAATTCACTGTAAATTAAGAGTTAAATGCCCTAAAATGAGCCACTTAAATACGAAGTTTTGTTCTTAAACTTGCCCTACCTAGAATCAGCTCCAAAATGTAAAAATTACAGCCAGAAAACTGCCATGATATTCCCCCCTAGGTTGTATCCTTACATTAAAAATGCATCTCTCATCATTTACTTCAGAACCCCTTTTGCACCTCGTGTATTTCCTTCATCGACCATCGCTCGTGAATTAGAAGGAACCAGTATTTACACGGAAAGCTGTTTTCCTAGACAAATATTGGTACAATTTTTATTTAATAGCTGACAATACCGTGTTGGTAGCACACAAACTGGGTTTATGACTCTTCTGGCTTCCCTACAAGTTGGGATTCTTCCTTAGTCAGTATTTTGCCAAGGACTGCATCATAGTAAGGGCTGAAGACCATTTTGTTGTAGTTGACGAGACGAACGTACTTGGCAGCAACCTCTTCCAGCTCTCTTTGGATAGGGCCTAACCCTCCAGGGATAGCAGGGAGTGTTTTCTGGTGACTGGATGCAAGATAATTCTCCAGAAACTTTTGAATTCGAGAATCTGGAAAAAAATGGGGCTTGGTTTGTTTTCAAAAGAGAGGGTCCATTAGAAATGGTGTAACCTCACGTAAAATGCAACAGGCCTGAAACACAGTCAAGTATCTGAGACATGAAATGGGAAGCCCAGCACGACACCCCCCCACCAGTTACACAGAGAACGGTCACAGGAGAGCAGAGCAGCAGTGCCAGACGTACCTATGAGCCTGCAGATGGTGTTATCTGGATTGGCCACTGCTTGGATCTGCCCTTTAAGCACAGTCTCTCTCTCTGCTGAGAACGGTGTAAAGCCGTGCTGGGAAAGGCAGCTGTTCACTTCGGCACACACCTTCTCCCCGATGGTGGCCAGAGATTCCTTCAGGTTAAAGGAGCTACAGAATGTGGAGTAGAGCATTACTGAACCAGATATTTACTTTTTTTCTCACCTTTTAAAAATAAACCTTTCAGTTAGAGTTGCCTTATTTATCAAATGCAATGGGAAAAGCGTAATGCAGACAAAAGCCAGAATTATAAAGAATAGTACCTTTTAGAGATGTATGAAAAATAAAGCTGACCTCCAAACCAAGGAAGTAGGAGAGCATTAAAGACTTCCAGCCTGAACAATCCATACACACAAGATCTGACTTTCTGCCTGCAGACAGCTCTGACTAATGCCAAACCAGTCACCAACCCTTGTGTGTACAGCAATCACTCTAAATCTGCAGGCAGCTCACTGTGCCACACTCAGGTTCTTGCAGGAGCCTGGCCCAAACCATGGGCAGGGTTAGATGCTGGCAGCCTCATGTGCCAGCCTGGCATCATAAAAGCACACTGGAAAAGCAGTGTGTACATTTCATAAAAGAGCAAAGCAAGAAAAGACAACTCCAAGTGAGTGAGTTGAAATAAAACTGTCGGCCTGGCTTCTTAGAAAGCCCTCAGCACCTTCTCTGCATATCCTGCAGTCCAGGAGGAGACAGAGAGGCTTACACTGGTTATTTACCAGGGTGAAAACAGAGCTACACCTGCCCCTGTGTGACCAGGACCATCCCATACTCACGGAAGGTGCGTTCCCGTCAGCAGCACCTTGACAATGGTTTTGATTTTCTCCGCAAATCCAGGCACATCGACAAGTGCTGGGCCTGCTGCACTGAACGTGACCAGGAGCACTGTCCCAACAAGGAGGAGTTGCTCCAGCTCCAGCTGTATTTCCAGGAAGCGGGTCTGGTCCATGAGCACCGTCTGTAATGAGTGAGGAAGCCAGCACAGGACGGGGTCAGTTTGCTGGGCTGGGAAGGGACACTGGGATGCGACAGAAAAGGTACGACAATGACACAGGGAAGAGCAAGATGCTCAGCAGGACAGCACCAGGAGTGAAATGAAAAGCATTAACCCCTCTTTTCCAACTAAGCAGGTTTCAGAACTGAAAGAGAAGTAGTACAAGAAGCTCCCAATGAAGAGATAAATGTTTCAGTATTGCACTTGTTGCAAGGCTACAAATCTGAACAGCTTCTGTTATGTCCCAGAAACAGAAGAGCGGAACAAACACAGCACCCATTTTTTTTTGTTAAATACCTACTTCTGGAAAAGGCCTGTTCACATGATCCCACTTTAGGAGCTTCAGATAGGCCTGATTTTGTACAGCAGTGAAGCACAAGGTGGAGGCTCCACCAGTAGCACCATCATTAGAGTGGGGAGGCAACGTTTCATGTCCCAGCTTTGCAAGATCATCCGCTGCTTCTTGCAACCACTTTGTGACAAGGTCTAAAGAATCTGGAGGAGTAAGAGAAAAAAAATCTTGTTAGGAAAATTCCCTCTCAAAGTTAGGTTTTTCCACCAATAATTTCCAAACAAGCCCATTAGTTACTATGACTAATACCCATGATATCAACTGATGACATGCATTTCATTTATTGCATCAAGCAGAACATCTAAAACAAAACCACACAGCTACAGGAAATCAGAGGTGAGATGATGCTGGGTAATCATGCCCTACACTGTATTGAGATTAAACTGGACTCCAGTGCACTAAGTGCAGAACTATAGTTCTGGCAGATTTTTTCTAACCACAGTTTTGGGGCACGAGCTGTCATTTACCATATGAACTTATAAAAATATCTGAGGTTTTTTTCATGTTCTACAAGCAAAGACACGCAGTTTACTAGGAGGTCAGAGGGGAAGAAAGAAAGGAACAAAGTCATACTTGGCTGTTTCTCAAGAAACTCCTGAAACTTCTTTCTTTCATATTCAGCAGACTGCTGCATTAATTTTGGCCTAATACTACTGACAGCGAAGTTTGCCATATCCATTTTCATTAGGTCTAATACAGAGAAAATGGCTCTAAACAAACAAACAGAAAAAGTTATTCAAGGCTGCAGATGTTTCAGAGGTGCTGTTTACAAGATTTATTACAGACTGTCTAAGGAAAGAGCAAAAACATGCATGGGAAACAGTAACAGGGTGCTTAACCATTTAAAAGCATGAGACAGAGAGAAAGCTTGAGCAAGCATGTACATGGATGCATGTGCCTCTTCCAAGTAGGAAAGAAATCTTGCTCCCCTGTAAAAAAGCCTCCATGGAATTAACTTCACTAGCTCCATAGATTACATCTCCCAGGATGTGCAGTGCTGTATCTTGAGTATATAAAAAGCCATCTGGGTTTCCAAGCTTGCATGCTCTCTCTGTTGGCAGCCTAGAAAGCCAACCTCAGTGGGAAGTGAATAATCAGACCCAAGGGAAAAAAAAAGAAAAGAAAAAACAAACACAAAAACCCTCACCAAATAACAACATCTTAATTTTAAAACAACCTAATTCCTGCTGGCCATAATTCTGCCAAATCAATCCTGAACTCTTGGAAGCTTTGCAAATTAGAAAGCAGCAAGGTCAGTGAAACTTCTGACTATTGAGACCTTGAGTTGAGAATATGGCGACAGAGCAGAAGCCCTGATGCTCCCAGATGTGGGTACAACACACTCCCTTTAGAACTGACAGGACTTTACACAGGGAGTGGGGTAAAGAGAGCTCAAACTGGAAAGAAAGGACAAACTGGTTGGAAACCAGTAGTACTTTTTCCCTATGCTCCTGTGGGCTTTTTTTCTCCTTTTGCTGTTGATGTTAATTTTTGATACAAACTGACTCTTCACCTGCTGTCTTAAAGTTTATATGCATTTGGCATTTAAGAAAATGTCCTTCACTGACATGCAGGAGCCAGACAAATACCCCAACTCACCAGAACAGAGATGGTCCTTGTTAATGACTCCTGGAGCATCTCTCCCCTTCACACCCACAGCTGTTTCCCTTTCCCTATCACTCTTTTCTTTCCTAGGAGCTGCAGGTTGCCCTGCTGGAACCCCCCCTCCCCGACATCTAAAACTATTTAAGGGACTCTGAACATGACTAATAAACACCATTTCAGTACCTGAACAGAGGAACTATTTCATGAATATCATTCAGTTTCTTAATTTCTTCATCTCGAGCTGGAGCACAGAGAGTCCCCATCATCCCAATAACAAATTTGACCAACTTAGAAATGTCAAGGGCCCCGTTTTCTGCCTCCTGTTTTATCAAATCCAGATCAAGAACTTCTGTAATCTGGTTTCTCAGTCTAGTATGACCAGGCAACAAGAAAGACAGGAGATTCTGCAATGGAAGGTTTTTAACAGTGCATTAGTTCTACATATCAAAGAGCACAAGGATCAAAACCACTTCTTACAGAGTCATAGAATCACAGAATGGTTTGGGTTGAAGGGACCGTAAAGGTCATTTGGTTCCAAGCCCCCTGCCATGGGCAGGGACACCTCCCACTAGACCATATTGCTCAATGCCCCATCCAACCTGGCCTTGGACACTTCAAGGAATGGGGCATATTCTTATTTAAATTAATTGCCCTTTAAAAGTAGAATTTCTCTTTTTTTTTTTTTAACCAACCACTCACCAACTCCAGATGTTTTACCTTGTTCTGTGTGATACTGAAGTTACTAAGTGGTAAATACTCTATGGCACAGATCATACTTCAGACTGTTGTGCTCAGTTTTATCAGCCCAGTGTTGGGGCATCCCATTGATTCCATAACTAATATTGCTGCCATAACATGAAGGAAGCTTGGAATTATGAAACTGGTATTACTTACCTTTTAATCCTCTTACATGGATTTGCATTTGGCTTTAAATTCAAACCTCCTCTGGGGTTATACAACTTATATATGTTCACAGACAATGATACAGTAATGAAAAAGAACAAGAGAGTCTTTTATGAAAAGCCAAGCTTCGACCACTTTTGCTCATTCATATCAATGCACTACTCAAATTCAATAATTTACCTTGGTATCACATCATCTTACCTCTTTAATTTCTCCCAACAGTTTAATTGCATGATCATATGTTGGTGGATCTTCCTTTAATTGAGCTTCCAGACAATCCCAGAAAGCTTTATGCACAATGTCTCTTACTTTCTTTTCCAAGCTGTGGGTAGACATGACCAGTTAGAAAGAACAATACTTGTCTCTGCACCACCTTCCAAAGATAACCTACAGCTCCTGAGGAAGAGCACGTAATAATATGAATATAACGTAAGAATGAATATATGATGATTAACAGAGAAGAGATCTGTCATTTTATGTTCCTTGGGAAAGCAAGAAAAACTGGATGCAGGATTTGGAATGGCCTATGTCCTAATAAAGGGTTACACACAAGCAAAGCCGGCTACAAATTAAAGTACTTGAAAGTTCATCCTATGCTACACCTAAACTAGACAACTAAAATAAATTAAAAAATAAATCACAAAAATTACAGTGTGTCTTCAAAAGACCAGTATTCATGTTCCTTTTAAAGGCCTCACTAAGTAAAGGCAATTCTACCAGGTAAAAGTCATTAGTAAACCTAACAGAAATGAAGTAACTTCCCTGACACAAAAGCTTCTGTGTTTCAGTGCATAAATACTGCAACTACTCTGAGATAAGGGCCCAGATCAGTCTGTGTAAAAAAAATAGACAAATTCCACTGCTTCAGTACCAATTCCTAATTCAAAATGCTGCAGTCAGACTGGGCTCTGTGGGAGACTGCAGCCTGACTCCTGGGACAAGAAACCACAGCACACTGGGATTTGTCCCACAGTTACTCCAAGAGGTTCACCTTTCATGCTCACACATATATCTGGGCAGCAGAACTGCACTTTTACCACCTTCTTCTTACATTGTTTCCTACTCCCTACCAGGCACTGCCAGACAAGATACCAGCCAGAGCCTTCACCTGATCCCCGAGAGCTGCTCTGCAGTTCTACAAATGCAAACTTTATCTAGAGATATATATATAGATATATTTTAATAGATATATTAGGTAACAATCTTACCTGTGTTCTGGTAATTCAGCTGGTTTAATCTGGAAGTCTCCATTGACAACAATCTCATGTGCTAATGCCATGTTGGTGACTCCCTTGGCTGTTTCCATGAGCTCTTCTATGGACACAGGCCGAGCAGGACTGGCTGCAACACGAATTACAATGTCAGACAGTTCTCTACAAAAGCCTGCAGAAAATAAAGTCTCCTAAGACTTTTGGACCCTTTCCACCTTACTGACAGTACAGAGGGTCAAATGGCAGTGTCACCTGAAGATGTTTTGCCTTCCCTTCCTTTCCCATCTAGTGGATGACACAGGTTTGGAGTAGTACAGAAAGCAAAGGAGAGAGTCCCAGTTGACATTCAGGGCTCAGAACTTGCTTCCAAGTTCTATCAAGCTCTTTTAAGAACCAAACCCAAACAAAACCCCAGACCCAAACCAGTACTTCTTTATGATGGATTAATAGCATCTTACCATCTTTCTCCATACTGTGGGAAGAAATAATTAAAATTACCAGCATTTTCACCACACTATTTCCACAAGTATTGTGCAGACATTGCCATTTCAATTTTACATTTTTCAGGGAAATTATTTCATCTTTAAAGCAGCCAGCAAACAAATCAGAAAAGTGTTAAGCAGTAACACACCAGTAGCTAATTATCCTCATTACTTCCAGTGCAACTGGCACTCCTTCCAACTCTTCTTTTCCCCCAGAGGCCACCATCCAAGCAACAAAGGATGTCAAGACCTACTCCCAGCTCCAATGCCTAAGACCTCTTTCCCTGGCAGGCATTTGAGGCTGACCAGGATGGACCAGCAGGTTCAAACTGGGCCCTGGGGCACAAAAGTGAGTAGCAGGAAGCACCAAACATGAAAAAACAGGATGGTTTTCATTAGGAAGGAGATAAAGGTAGTGACTGACTGTGGAAATCTAGCAGGTAGAAGGCAGACAATTCAAAAAACTTAATTTGCTTCCTGGATGTACTGGGAATTACGGCTCCTAATAGTTCTGGGCTACACAACATCCTCCTGGGCCACCAGTGGCATTGTTGTAGTGCAAGAAGTGTCACAACCCTAAAAACAAGTCAACAGAGAGGCCAAGAAGGTGCCAAGGGTGTAGGTCACTCTGGTTTAGGGGAGTAATCCCATCTCACTGAAGCCACCTGAAAGCACTGATTCTTTGTGGTAAAGGGTCCTCCCTGCTGTGCAGTGTCAGTGCACACAGTGTGTGTGGGGGCCCTGCAATGCCCTCCCAAAAGTCAGGAGAAGCACCACAGCTCTTCCCTGGTCCAGCTATTTGAGAAAAAGGAGAAAGGCAGATCATTAGTGTCCTCAGGTGAGGCAGGCAGGAATGGCAAGGTTCACCCTGGCTCCTCCAGAAGACACCTTATGGAGTGGAATGGGGGAAAGAGCCACAGCAGAATTGCCCCAATGGATCCATTCCTGTCTGTACATCACTCACTTCAATTACAGTCCAGGCATAGGAGCAACACACTAATCCCAAAATGAAAGAAATGAACCAGGGATCTTCATGGGCTGGGCTCACTGAGGTATGTTTTAGGCAAACTATTATGACAGTCTCATTTGATAACCCATGCTGATTTGACTTAGGAAATTACATAGAAAAGGTCTTTTAAAAGTAGCTGTCCCATCACTTGTCTGCTACTCAGAGCTCTTCTGAGTATACGCAGTGTGGTTCCAACGTGCTAATTTATCATTAATATCTTGCTCTTCTGCTGCAGCCCTCCTAAATCCTTGTTTCCTTCTGCTTGGAGCTTAATGTTGCAGGGTGACTCCGGGAACACAGCAAGGATTGATATTCTGAGAAGCACTAGCAGACAGCAAAGTTCACAGCTGAATGAGAGTGCTCTTGTCCCACTGCCAAATGACTTCACTCCAGCAGTGGGTGCACTAAAAGCCAAGACTCTCATTTGCCACAGAACACTCTTAAATCACATCATCTGCTCCCTTAAATGAGGGAAGGGCTTGAAACCAACCACTTCTTTGTGGTACAGTGCAGTGCAAGACTGTGCTATGCTTTTTACTTTCCCGTGTTCAGAGCCTCTCTCCACACATACATCCCGTCTTTGTCAGGCAACCAGCAGGGCATAAGAACATAAACTCCCTCAGAACAGCTCTTCTGTGTAACATGACACTAAACACAACACTAAACCTCAAGTAATAATGAACTGCATTAAAGAAACAAAAAAAAATACAACAAACAAAATGTTACAGGCTGAGACACTCTCTACAGAAATTTAGAACTAGTTATCTGAGCACTTCTGCCTCTTTGAATTGAACCCCTGGAGCCAGAAAACCTCCCCTTGGTTTCATCTACAGATGTGCCAGGAATATTTGGTAGCCATGTTGCATCCAGCTCCTCATGTTAAAAGCAGAATGACAAGGAAAAATACGCCTTAGGAATAAGCTTAAAATATGCAGTCCTGCTTGACACTGGAAGTAGTATTAGGATAAAATATACAACTTTCCATCTATACTGTGAGGGGGATGACAGGACATTCCTTTGTTGATAACAGCCTTCCTTGCCCTGCAGTGGAAACAGAGGCTGCAACAATCCAGAAGGTTCAGCTGATAAGGCAAACAGCAGCAGCAGTAGCTGGAACACCCCAGGATGGTGCTTTACCCCTTCCATGAGCACAGACACACCAGGGTATTTAAGATATATGGGGATCAGAGCGACATGGTCACTGTGTATAATTAAGTACTAAAAAAAATGAGGAAAAGGATGTTACAAACAGTTTCAGAGCAAACCATCAGGAGTCACACTATATTTAACTGCAAGACAGTCAAACTTGCACAGAATGGTATGAAACATTAGGATTGCCTTCACCAAAACCTATAGATCTTTTTTTTAATTATATTTCACATAAAGCAGTTTTGCTTACACTTGGGTGTGTCATCTCTGTGTGACCCTGGAGCGCTCTGCCGGATCCTTTTTCGGACAGACTGATCCGGGTTATCCGAGTTCTCCTCTTGACCATCCTCCAAACCACTCAGCCTTTCTTCACTTGAGTGTAGCTTGTCAGGATTCTGCGACATTTTCAGTTGGTTCCTTACAAAAAAAGAAAAAACATGGAAAAGGGAATGAATAAGCATTTTATGACATGGCTGAGTGGGAAAACATCACCAGGAGTTCTCTTGATTGAGAAAAAAATTAAGAATGAAAGAATTCTTACAAGGACTTATATGATGTCATCCCTATAATGGTAGGAGACCTGGACTCAGTGACTCACTCCCCATGTCTCACCAAATGGGATGCTTTCAACACAGCTACCATTTATTAATCTGCATTCCTACTAAGTTCTCAAAAATCTGAAACTGCTCCCTTTTGCTATAATGATACAGATGAGAGAGAAAAAGATATTTAGTTCTCTTTTTTAGCATTGCTTCTGAGAGAGCAGTGAAAAAGACCTTCAGAACAGTATCACAGAAATGTTTTACAAAAAGATTATGTCAAATGAGATGTTTCCTCACTACACAGCAACAAGTCTTCCTCAGCATAACATACTCCTGAACTATGATCTACCCCAACTGCTCAGAACTTAAAAGCTTTTGCTCTGAGCCATCCAAAAGCATTAAGGAGCAGGAAAAGGACTAGAGAGAAATCAATATAAAATTCTACTCCCATATTTTCATGCCATGCAAGAGTCATGATTTATGCATAAAATTTCAGGGGTTTTTAATAAAGACAGTAAAGAGCAGTTATAGTATTTAAAATATTAGTTTATTACATTAATTTTTTATTATATTACCAAAATATTTATATTACATCACAGACACACGCAGTGTAGCCAAAGTTATAATGAAAAAATTACCATAAGAAAAGCAAGTCTCACCATTCCTTATCTTCGCTTATTTCACACTCAGATTTCCCTCTGAAGAATGTAATTTGCACATCCACCATGAAAACTGTCATGCAGGAAGCTGCTGTTAAGATTTCAGTTTTACAGAGATCTGTTAGAGAGCATATGATGTCTCTAACTCAATTAAATAGCCTGGATGTTCTGTGAAGTGGGAGTCAGAAGGACTCTGCCTTTCAAAATAAAAGAAAGCTTCTGGAAAAACTTCCTCTTTCCTCTGGTATCTCACCATCCCCACTTTCAAAATTTGAAAGAAACAAGCTCTGAGCAAGAGATTCACCCTCCACAGCTACTAGGAGAAAATACTTGCAGCACCAAAGAGGATGTAGCAGAAGCAAGCAACGGAGCAGAAATATAAAATGCACACTGAGACTTTTTTATTTTCATACAACAGCTGTAATAACCAACCCTGCTCCATCAGTGCTTAAATTGACTGCACCAGCGGGATTCTACAGGACAGCTGGAAAGCTCAGGGCATGTAAGAAACAGTTTTGTTCTACAGCAATGACTCAGGATCATCATCTTGCTTGATGCATGAGAGACAACAGCATGCAACACTTGCCCACAGCACTGTGTGATTTCTATTTTAGAAAAGGAAACAGCACAAAAAGCATGGGATAAATTACATGGGAAAACCAAGGCATCAGTACAGGTATTGTTAGAATCATACACTGGCCTACAGCTGGAACAGAGTCACTGATGTCCCTGCTCCAAATACTTCACTATGTCCCTCTTCACACACAAAAAGTCTGGGACATGGAAGGGTTGATCTGTGCACAGCTGCAGTCACATTGCCACCCTCTGAACCAATGCAGAGTGAGCCTCCAGCTGGGTGTAACTGCAGGCATCCCACCCAGCAAGGAACTGGGAAACCAGTGGGAAACCAGTGACATACTCCAGGAGAAGTGGATCTCCCATCTGGGGGACAGAAGGTCTGTTACTGCAAACACTCCACCAGCAAGAGGATGAGGAGCTCTGTTAATAAAGGAGTTGTTCACAAAGAAGATCATAGCAACAAGTTGCAATATAAAATAAAAACCAGGACTGGTTAAACAAAGGAGGGAGGCCTGTTGTTGAATTTGGCTGGGAGAAAAGCATTATCATAAAGGCTTCCACATTCATTCCACCAGACTAGACAGCCACTCTTCCTATCCGGTCTCATCCACAAAGCATCCTCCTGAAGTCAAAATCTGAACCACAGAGATGACTCAACCAAAACACACTTAAGTCTTTAAAGCACATAACACTTCCTAGTGCCTCTCAATCTCTCACTGCACTTTAGGCTCACTGTGCTGAGAAAAGCAGGGAAATATAATATACCTTACTGACAGAGAGGAAATTGAGGTGTGAGTTAAGTTGCCTGAGGACTCACAGAAGATAAATGACAGGGATAAGATGACAATCAGTCTCATGACTGCTACCCCCAGCTTTGCCCACCAGGCCATCATTCCTACCATGCAGACTACATCCCATAAAATGGCAGCTCAAGAGCTACAGCCTCAAACCCAAAAGTTTCATTTAATTACCATTTGTTTAAAAAAAGTCCTATTTCAGCTGTGGAAGGCAGGTACAAGAACTCCTGGGCCATTCTACCAAGTGACTGTTCAGCAGATGAGTTAAAAAGGCACACTTGTTGGTTTAGTTGTTTAGTTTGCAATAGTCTACTCTTTTCTGCTGGATTACTGCTATTATTTGCCAGAACACATCTAGAACATATCCTCTTTCCACTGGGTAAATAAGCTCGACAATACCTCTTCCAGAAGCACAATCATCATCTTTCTTTCACAGAAACAATTCTGCCTCTTAATGGAGCAAAGCCTACTTCTTGGCACTTTCATTTATTTTTAATAAAAACAGAAACGCAGGAGAAAACCCCAACAGATTAAAATTTAAACAAAACATTTTTCCACCGGCTCTTTTCGCTAAAGGTCCTCAAACCATCAGATGCACACCAGCACTACATAAATTTCACTCTGCTTCCATGGAGCGCACCTTGACCAAGGTTGAAGCAGTTCCTTCTCACCACCAGCGCTGCCCCACTGCTCTGCAGGAGACAGCACTTGACAGCTGCCCTGACGCCGAGGGCTGCCCTGCCTCAGGCTTCATTCCAGCGCTGAGCTCTCTCTCTGTTCACCTGCCACATCACAGCCTACTTTCCCTTGCAACCCAGCAAAAGGCGAGCTGCAGCCCCGTCCCCCTTCCAAATGACAAGGGACGCTAGTGAAATTCCGCAGTTTTCCCCTCCGCAGCCCGTTCCGCGTGAGGCCCTCCCCGGTCCCTCCCAGCGCCATTCCCGAGGGAGCACACGGGGTGCCGTCCCCATCCCACCCCGCCCGCCGGCAGCAGCGGCTGCAGCCCCGGCCCGGGCACTGCTCTTCCCGGCGCCGCTGCCGAGGCTCATCAATGGGCCACGGGGGAAAACGAGCCCGGGGCGGGCTGTGGGATGCGCAGGGAGCACGGGGATGCAGTGCCGAGCTCACCCAGCCGAGCTCACCCCGCGGCCCCGGCGCAGCCCTACCCGGCCGGGCCCGGAGCCGCCGCGGCGCCCCCTCGGCGGTGCCGGGCCCGGACCCTGCCCGCCGCCCCCCGCCCTCCCACCGCCCCCGGACCCCCGGGGCCGCCCCCCGGGCCGGGCCGCCCCCTCTTACCGCCGCTCGGCGCAGGGGCCGCGGCCGCCGGCGCTGACGGGCCCGGCTCCCTACCGGCGGCGGCCGCGGAGCGGGGCTGGGCCGGCGCCGCAGCCCCAGCGCAGGGCGGGCCGCGGCGGCTCCGGGGCGGGGCGAGGGGCCCCCGCGCCGGGAACGGGGGATTTTCCCTCCAGGAAGGGGTGAGGAGTAGCTCTGCTCCGCGCTGATGGAGCACCGACAGCCCTCAGGGCTCCCGGCGGCTTTGGGGCGAGCGAGGTCCCGACCCCAAACAGAGCAAGGGCTGCGCCCCAATAACCTGCGCCGGGGCTCTACAGAATCACAGAATGAACGAGGTTGGAAAGGATCTCCGAGATCATCGAGTCAAACCTTTGACTTAACACCACCTTGTCTACTAGACCATGGCACTAAGTGGCACATCCAGTCTCTTAAATAGCTCCAGGGACGGTGACTCCACCGCCTCCCTGGGCAGCCCATTCCAGTGCCCAGTCAGTCTCTCTGTAAAGAACTTCTTCCTAATGTCTAATCTAAACCTCCCCTGGCACAGCTTAAGACCGTGCCCTCTTGTCCTACTGCTGGTTGCCTGGAAGAAGAGACAAGCCCACCTGGCTACACCCTCCTGTCAGGGAGTTGTAGAGAGTGATGAAGTCTCCCCTGAGCCTCCTCTTCTCCAGGTTAAACAACCCCAGCTCCCTCAGCTGCTCCTCATAGGACTTGTGCTCTAACATAGAGGGATAGAGAGATGTATGACTGCTCCAACCACACTGTACCGATTCACATTAAACTCACCCAGCAAGCAGGGAAAGCAGCCATGGCTTGTCCTTGCTGTCCTTAAGACACCTCATCCAGCTCACAGCAGTTCCTCCCAGGTGAAATCTTAGGTACTTTTGGAGGAGCTGTACCACCCCAAGCAGAGGAAAGGCCATGCTGACCCTGCCTTGTGCCCACTGGTGAACATTTGAGCCCCATTCCTCCCTGGAGGCTGCTTTTCCTTACCCTGAAAGCAAACTTGGCAGCAGAGCCAGCTCAGTAACTCACAGGGCAGGATCTGTAATTCATAACTCTCACAGGCAGGAACTCATTTTTAAGATAGAAATCTCATCCTCTTAACCATGATGTTACATTAGGCAGAAGTTAGAAAGGGAATACACTTCTGCTGAAGGGGGAACCAATGCAGCACCATAAGTAACTTATTTTAACATATTTTTCCTAAGAACAAGGAACTGCCTTTCCACCCCCACATTTTAAAGTGTAAGTTAAGCCAACTGTTCTGAGGAAGTACATTTATAATAGAAAGCTTTCAGTTAAGACTAAGAACTACGAAATATAACTACTAAAAAGGGGTTATACTCCCCCCCCACTAGAACTGGATATTTTTTAGAAGTCCTTTCTAACTGACTAGAATAAGCTTTTCACACGTTTGTCATCCATCCCCCATCAGGACACAGTAACACACTGTCCTATTGCACACCAGGCCCTCAGCTCTGGTTCACAGAAAGCACTTGGGCCACTGGCACCACACACCACTAATGACTGAAGGGTTACTTAGGGAGATATTACAGTATCTCACATGGGGCTGTGTTTTTAAAAATCAGATCACTACATGCTTGTAACAGTTATTTCTACTTTGTTGTCATAATTAAACTAGCTTTTGTTCCCAAATAGAAGAGAACAGAAATGGAACAAAATTTGTTATTTCTTTCAACAGCAGCTGTAACGAAGTTTGGCTGATATCATCCCAAAGATAACCCCACAAGAGCCAAAATTAGATCTCTAATCATGCTCTATATCTGCCTGCAGTTGCCTGTGTTGCAAAGCTTGGGATTTCCACCGTAGACCAGACACAGATAAACTATACAGCCACAAGACAAGCCAAAGGCCTTTCCTTCGCTCCAGCTCTTTTCTAATTACAGCTGGTGCCATCAATAAGAGTTACAGTCAGAGCAAAACACTGCAGGGATGAAGATAACCAGTCATAAACAGTACATCCTGTGGCAACCAAAGCCAGACTGATTTAAAAATCCAGAATATCTTTACCATCCCAGGACAGTCAATTTCTCAATATGGTGCCATTTTAGCTTAAAACAGCACAGTAATTTGTCATACACATAAGACAGTATCATTAGCTGGCAAGCTTGAAGGAAAGCTGTGGAACATCAAGCAGGAGATGTTCTTCAGGTCTGTCCATTACACAGCAAGGCAAAGATCAATGCTACGTGTCAGTCACATAATGCAAGGCAAATTAGAAAAAAAATGTTCAGCATAAGATTCAGTGCTGAGGTAAAAGGTAAGAGAGACATCTCATTCATGGTGTCTTCCATCTCAGGAATTTTGATATTTGAAGAGAGGGAGTCAATAGATTTGGCTTTAGGTGAGGAAAAGGAAGGATTATAGTGGTCCGATAGCTTTTCTCATTCTTAATTGCTAAACTATAAATAAAGGCTACTTTTGTACTGTTGGCTTTGGTAATAACTGAATACATTCCATCCATTTCCAGAAAATAACTTTATTAGGCACAATACATGAATAGAAAAATTTACAAATATATTAGTGTTTTCAATGCTGGAGTATACAAAGTAATCTCTATTTAAAGTCTCACACACACATATTAGTAACTCTGTCTCCAAAATACTGCATAAAAATACTTGGATTACTACTATGAAACTGGTCTAGCAGTCTCTTTCTCTCTTTGTCAGAGAGCTTTGAGTCTTCATCGATAGCTTTCAACAGAGACAACAGCTCATCTCTTGTGGTCTTCTCTGTACTGGAGCGATACTCTCTTTCATCAAGTTTTTGGCAAAAGGTATAGCCTAAAAGGAAACAAGAGACATTCAGAGCTAACACCACATTCAGCTACCCTAGGGATTCCACAGACCCATCCTCCTTTAGAGTCAAATTAATCATCGTTACAGCAAGTCTTTTTGCATCACCTATTTCTCATTTTGGGTGCATGACGAGATTAAAAAGCTCAGTTTGAACTGTTACCTGTTATCTTACTGGGATCCTGGCCTTTCTGCAAAGCCAGCAATTTATTGCTGACCATCTTATGCAGAGTCCCTGGGATCTTGAAGAGAAAGAGATGACAATGCATCTTAGAAAAGGCAATTCTTCATAGGCATACGAGATTAGCCAAAACCTGGTCATTTTCTAGCTCTTACCTTTAACACATCTCTTTGGTTGTCCACAAGGAACAAGATCAGGAGGTCAGTTTTCCCTCTGGATAAGTTTTTATTGTTGATAATAGCTTTAGAGAATGTTCTTTTCACAACCATCCTGTTGTCACTCTAAAGAACAACATGAATTAAGGACGAAAAGAAGAGAGTTAGTCTCCCCCATTGTCCTTCCAGAGTCATTGCTCTTCCTGTAGTCACCTATTTAAGCTACAAACATGTTTTCTTACCAGTGTCTGTGACCTCTAGATTTCAGTAAGTGTAAAGCATCTATTAAGTACACACTTACCTCCTTCTGTAGTTTGAGCTCAGAATTGTGTGCTGCAACAGCCATGAAGTACAACAGTCTCCTGAACTCCTCCCTGACTTGGCTGTCTAGAAGTTTCAAATACAGCTGAACAGCTTCTAAAGATTGCTCCATCTTCCCATTCACTGGGGAGAGATAAGGGTATCTATTGCCATATTTATTTACATAAATGTTGCAATAAAACACCTAAATATCCACTGAAGAGACGTTCATCTCTCTACACAGAACTGGTCAAACTAAGCAATTAATTCTCACAAAAACTTCTCACAGGTTAATGAGAGCTGCTTGCAGACAGTCTGAAAACATCCCACATACAGGCTTTCAGGCTGATATTCGAGTAAGCTCACTTGCAATTAAGTTCAATTACAGTTCAGCCATCTTGAATGGGATGTGAAATATTGCAAAGAGAAAATGGTTCTGTTAAAGAAATGAGTGAGCTCTTGTTGTGGAAATAAAGATCTCCCAAAAAATGAGAAATATGTTCTAAATACACGGGCTAGTGTGAGGAATTAACTGCAAACCACTTTGTAGAGCTTGGCTAAGTTTTAATTTGCCTTACTATGCAGAATAGCCATTTTAGATGTGTGAATGATTTAAATGAAGTAGGTGGTACTAATATCATCTCTTTATCATGTAGGGAGGAGGAATAGGATATAAATGCAAACTATTCCCACCAACAGGACAAACTATTCCCATGGAACAAGAAATAGGATGAGAAATATGGAGAACAGGGATAAGATGTTAATTGAGGACTAAAACATCAAAAGCTTTCTAAAATGTTGTCTAAGCAAAATTTAAGAAACATTTCTGTGTAAAAAAAAAAAATAAAATTTGTGAATGGGGTAGAAAGTATCTATACAGCTTTCAGTTTAGCTCTCATAGCACAAATATTTAATATTAGGCCATATTTATGTTTCATTTCCCATGGATCTTTAACTTCCATGTATACCAGTTGCTACCAAATTATAGTGCTCCATTTTCACAGCCATTCTACACAGACCCAATCAAAGATTACAGAACTGCATAAAAGTCAGGACCAAAATCAAGCACAATCTTTATGGCTAGAAGTGAAAAGGAAAAAAAAAAATACTTGCAGAAGTCAATATTTAATCTTGGCTGCTGAGGTAAACACTCAGTTTCTCAATACATGTCTCACATAAGCATAGGAACACGGCTTTATTTTACTTACCTAAAAGCTCTGCAATTCCTAAATGGATTTCAGGTGCGTGGCTTAACAGCGGCTCCTTTTTTTGGCTGTAGTATCTACCAATATTGTCAAACAGCAGCAGTTTCCATGTATCTGCTTGATCTGGCTGATCAGGCAAGTTCCTGCTAATGTCCACCACCATATGATCCGGAAGGTATTCCAAGCAATCTATTGCTGCCGAGAGCCATTCGTCTGTCCTGGAAGACAGAGTGGTTTAGGTTTGTAGCATTGCCTACAGGTGCCTTTCAGAGCTGGTTGCTTTGCTTTCCGCAGAAAGCAGGTAGACTGGTTTCTCAATCCCAGTGAAAACTGCATGTGTAAGTACTTAAATACATTAGAAATTCTCACACACACAGGACACTTTACCTGACACACTCAAGT